CTGCAGGCAGAACTGTTGTGACACAGGAGGCTGCGTTACAGGAAAGAAACATTATTATGGCAGCATAGTTAAAAGTTTGTATTTTGACTCTCATTTATGGCAAAAATTGTCCTCCCAGGGTAAAGGAAAATCCTTAAAGATGACTTGTAATGTAAGGGCTTTTTGTTTAGCTTGGATTTTTCCCCTTGGCATCGGCTGCAGCTAAATCCAGCTGGGAATAGCCCTGCTTTGGGAACACTCAGGGTCAACATCTGGGGTCAGGGATCAGCTTTACCCTCCCATTAAGGTCACATTCTGTTTTTGCCTTTTTCGTCTGCTGGCCCCAAGCAGAAGCACAGCCAAACCATAACTGCTGGGAACTGAAGGAACACCAGAATTTAGTGGGGGGTGGCTTTCAGTGGCCTCTGGCTCAGCTGGGTGACGTTACCTGAATTCAGTGTACCTGATTTTATGGCATTTAAGCCAGAAGTACATTCAGGTGTGACTGAGCCGTCACACAGACAGTGGTGCAGGGGTTTGCTGAGCTCTTTGGGGCAGCCTTGGCAGCACTTTGCACTCCTGGCCTTGCTGCCAGAAGCTGAACTGGATCCTCCCAAGGCTGAGCAGAACTGGCAAGTGGGCAGACGGCCCTGGGAAGGGATGCTTTCCTTGTGGCCCTCACACAAGTAGTAGCCCTGGCTGCAGAGGTGTCTGGCTGTTGGGTGCCCATCTTACTGGGGTGCAGGAGGGGCTGGGGCTGTGTCTGGTGAGCTGCCAGCTCTGGTCCTGCAGCGTGTTGGGGGAAAGGGTCAAGGAAATGCTGTGCAGGCCCTGGGGAAAAGGGACTGTGAGCTTGGTGTTGCTCAGTAGTGGTGTGTCTGTCTGCAGAGCAGAGGGAACACCCCGGGGCTGTGTTGGGACACAGCTCATGTGATGGGACACTCAGACACCAGCCCTGGCAGGAAGGGTGTCTGTGCCTTGTGGGAGGACTTGCTTGTATTTCTCTGACTGTTGTGTTTGCTGAAGCTGAATTTGAAAACTGGGTGGCCCAGACAGGGCAGGGAGTGGAGGCACTGCTCACCTTGATAAGGTGAGTGACTTTATATTGCACTCTTAGAGGAAATACTCAGAAAAAATAACCCCAGATTTATTCTCTTGTCTAGCACAGCTCCTGAGAGCAAACAGGGCCTGTCCAAGGGGTCTTCCTGTGCCCCAGGAGAGCTGTTCCTGCTGCAGAAATTCCTCTGCTGTCCTGTAGGAGGAGGTTGAGGGTGGCAATGTTTTCCCTGCTGATAGGACGTGAACCAGGCGTATTGATTTGAACGGGCTGAAGGGTCCTGCAGGGTTCTGTGACTCAGGGTTGGTGGAGTTTGAATGAGGAGCTGTTGAGACAGAAAACATGCAGGGTGTGACTTGGGAGTTGTGCCTGGAGGTGCTTTTATTTATGGAGTTCAGAAGTCCTGTTCTGGAGCTGATGTACCTCAGGTACTGGTGGACACTGACTTAATTCATATCTACAGCTTACATAGAAAATATCATTAAGTCTCCTGCTTTTGTTTTATTTAATGTTCTTATGAGGAGCTTTAATCAATTAAAGTATGTATGTTTATTGCATTGTTGGGGTTCTTGTTCCTCTTCTCTATTTACTCTGCAGAGATTCAAATATCCACCCAGTTCCTGTAGATCATTGCTGTGGATTTCCTGAGCTTTATTTGACAGAGGAAAAGGAGTCCTCTGCCAGACAGAATAAAGGATATTCTAAACATGACTGTATACTCAATACTCTAGTGCAGATTTTTAAGAAAATACAAACTCAACACATTTCTAACATGAGGAGACTTGGATAGATTGATACTCTGTTTAGTGTTTGACTCAGATGGAAATGTCTGTCTAGTTTCAAGTGTGTCATGGGGCTCTGAGAGCTGTAAAAAGTAAACATCTTGGGCTTACTAAAAGTCACGTAATACCGGAAACTTGTCACTGTAAAACAGAACTGGGGCAACGGTTCACTGTTAACTTAACAAATGATTCATCCCTGCTGCTGACTTCCTGCAGGATCCACCACGGGTAATTCCACTGAAACCCTCCAGCGGGAGTTTTGGCATTCCATAAACACATGAACGTGTAGATACTCCAGCGTGGTGAGACCCATCCCAGCCACAGCTGGAAGCAGCTCAGTTTGGGGCTAATGAAGCTCCAGGGACTTTGTCTTCACTGGAACTTCGGTTCAAAGTACTGGCTGTGGCAGTGCCAGCACAGATGGAGCTGCTTCCCTGGGCTGGATTAACATTTGCTGTGAGAGGGAACAGAGGTGCTGAGTGAAAAATAGCAGTGTCCAGGGAAAACTCTGAATTGTTGTCGCTGCAGCAGCAAAAATACGGTGGGGAGATGAGGAGGATTTGGGTAATGCAGAAACTGGCTCCCTGGGAACATGAAGAAAGTCTGTATTCGTTGCAGCAAGCCTTGGATTACATGAGGAAGCAGAATAATCCTGACAGAGCAGACACTTGCACAATAGAAAAACCATGTACATGTTGTGAGAGGATGTAGTGGAGCTGAGGTCACTGAGTGCATGGCAGTGAGGTCACTGTGTGTGGCACAGCACAGTCGGGTTTGGAAGCACTGCCCTGGCTCTGGAGCTTGGTCTGTGGCAGCTGGAGGGCTGTGTGGGTATGAAGGGTGGGCACAACATGGTCCTGGAGGCAGCTAAAATACCTCAGACTACCTGTGAGTACCTGAGGGGAATGTAGTGCCACAAGCTTTGGAGCAAGAAGTCTTATGTTGAGGCCTTTGAAAAAAATAGAGGGGTTGAAAATAGTTGTTTGAAGGAGCGAAGTAGCTTCTCTTGAAGGAATCTCAGATTTTGATGATAAGGGGGACTGAACCCTGGATTCAGTCTGTGCTGTGTCTTCAGGACACGGCAGGAATTTGAAAGTTTCTGTCCCTGCCAAGGTTACCATGGCTTTGGGAATATCTCCTTTTCTTCCATTGCAAGATTGAAAACCAGCCCAAGTTTTCAACAGCTGAAGTGTAAAAAATGGGTAACTTTGCAATTTGGGCATTGTGGTGTTTGGGGTATTCTGGACTGCCCGTCCTTTTGATTTAAAAAATACCCCTTTGTGTATTTTTGAACTCTGAACAACACAATTTACTGCAGTCACCGGGTTCCCAGTGTGCTTCAGCAGAACAGTCCCTGCACAAGTACAGCATTGGTTTATCCCTGACATTTCCTGCTCCTGTCAGGCTAAATGTGTCAGCCTGACCCCGAAACCAGTTCTGAAAGACAAGATGTTTTTTGAATTCTCAAAGATAGTGAGGAAAAACTGCCAGACCTTGTGTCATCCTTGATCTGAATTGAAAAGCACACGGATGTTCTGCTCCCCGGACAAGGGAGCACGTTTGCAGCCTGTAAAATACTGTTTCTTAATCCCAGTGACATGTCCTGACTTGAAAACTGAGATGAGATTGTTTCAGCAGAAATAAACTAAAGATAGAACCAAAGCAAAAAATCTGCTGATGTGCATTATAGGAGAGTTGCTTGAGATAATCAGTGGAATTTCAAGGCTTAAGGGTTTGGTTACAACAGATATTGTTGTCTTCTATCTAAAATGAAAGCTGCTACAAGGATCTCAGCCATAACATTATGCCAAAAAATCCAAAGCAAAGGGAGGAAAACAAAGTAATTTCAGCTTGGTTTGTGCAAATGTACGATAAAGAATAGGAACAAAGGTCAGGGCTTGGGTATGTCAACACATCTCACGTATTTAAACATCTGATGGGGTTTTTTAATAACTGCGTAACAAATACAAACAACTTTATGTTATCCTGGTAGTGCCTGAAGCCCCTGGGGTGGGTCACAGCCCCGTAACACCAGGTGCTGGTCAGTAAGGAAACACTTTTGGTTTAGATGTTTTAGGGATAAAAGAGGAAAGAGTAGTTTTTTCCATTCTGTAGCTAAAAATGCAGGGTAACTCAAGGAACCCAAGGGGTCTGTCTGTACCTCAAAATAAAAAAATCTGAATGTTCATGTGTTGGTTTTAAGTACTGCTTTGATCTGGTGGTGTTGGAACTGAGTTAGTTCTTTTCCATTTTCTTTGCAAATTCCTTTTTTTTGGCCCTTAATGTGGTGTACAGTGCTCAACTGGCTCCTCAGCAGCGGGCAGGGAGCACTCTTAAACCTGCAAATTTTTAACATATATTTAATTTTCATTCACCCTATAATTGTAAAGGTCAGATCTTGTGGGTTTTGGTGTAAAATTATACTTTGAGGTTAAGTAAGAGGATGTGAATATAAACACGAACTGCAGCCACTGCCAGGGCTTTGCGTTCCCACAGCAGCAGTTTAAACCCGCAGAAGCTTTTCCCTGTATTTTGACACGAAATAAAAAATCCCTCTACGCTATTTTTAATATTTTAAATTTAAACATTAAATAGTTTAACTAAGCGCAGGTGTGTGGAATTGGCTCAGTGAACCCTCTGACACCAGAGCGCTGCGGGATCTCTGAGGGGCCGCATTTTACTCTTTGTTCGCTGAATCCCCTCGCACAGCCGCGGGTTGTGTGTTTTTGTGCGTTTTTCCTTTTTTTTTTTTTTTTTTTGTGTGCGTGAATTATTTTACATCATTGAAGCCCCAAGCGGCAGCTGGCGCGGGCGTCCCACAACCTTTTGTTGTGCTAATTCCCGAGCGGGGCTGAGCGGAGGGGGTTGCGGGCAGCGTGTCCCGGGGCCGTGGAGTGAAACCCGGGGGCTGTGGAGGGGAGCCTGGGGACCCTCGGGCGGTACCCGGCGGAGGGGCTGAGCCGGGCGGGACAAAGCCCCACAGCCGCTCCCGCGCTGCCCTTCGTGAGGGGATTCAAATGGCGGCCCCGCCCGCCCGCGCGCCGCGGCCGCTCTGCCCCGGCCCCGCCTAGCAACAGGCGGAGCTTGGCGCCCATTGGCGGAGCGAGAGAGCGGCGCGCTCCTATTGGCTGAAGGCGCGGGGAGCAGCGAGGGGGGAGGAGGGTGAAGGTGTTAAACCGCGCAGGACGCGGCCGCCATTTTGTGAAGGAGCGAGAGGGGCAGCGCAGGGTGGAGGGAGCTTTGAGGGTGGGGGGGTTGGAGATTGACGGCGGAGCAGCAAGGGGTCGGTTCCGAGTGGCCCGTGTGTGTTGTCTCTGCTTGCGGGCGAACGGAGCGGACTGAAGTCGGTAAGGGCGGAGCGGTGCGGGAAGGGCCGGGCGCGGCCGCCGCCATGTTGTGCTCCGTTGTGGGGCGGTGGGGACGGGGGGTCCCGGCTCCCCGCGGGGCTCGGGGAGAGGAGAAAGTTCCGAGGCGAAGAAGCGCCGGTTCGTGGGAGCAGCAGCAGCTGGGCTGAGACTGGTTCTATTCCCTTGGTTTGAGTCCAAACAAGGCGAAAGAAATGGAGATGGGCGGCTCCTCTAGAGTTGAGAGAGGGATGGGCTGGGGGGTGATGAGTTCGGAGATTTACAGGAGGTGAACAGATTGGAGTGACTCGAGATTAAAATCTTAGAGATTACAGGAAAGTACAAGCCATGGGCTAAACAGGAAGTGAGTGTAAGAGTTAATAAGGAATTACTTGGCTAACGAAGGTGAAAAAAAAACCAGCTGACAGATGAGAAATGGAGCTCTGTGATGCTTGGGGAGTGCAGGGGGTGTCACGGGAAGTGTTGGGACAATTGGGGGCAGTTCCTATACTGGTCCCAGTTAGGTGGGTGCGTTCTCCAGGGGCAGTTTACAGGGAGGGGTTTCTTTGTGCTCAAGTGATCCGTTGAGCTTTCCCTAAAGTTAATCCCAAAGTATTTTACTTTTTCCATATTAAAAAAAAAAAAAAAAAAAAGATGAGGTTCTTCATTGCCTGTTGAAATGCTTTTTAAGACACAGAGAGTGAGAGAGCGTAATAAAAAGGCTGTTACTGGTGAAATGCGAAGTATGATGCTGAAGTTTGTATAAGGAGAGTAAGACAAATACTGCCTTGTGTTTTTGGGTGGGGGGTTGTTTGTAGCATGTTGTCATTTTTAGCAAGAGACTGTGAATTTGCTGCTTCCCCCTCCCAAATCGAAACAATTGTTTCCTTACTCTGACGTCAAATGTCCTTCTCTTTTCTGCAGCGGGACTTCTCCCTTGGAGCTTCTGTGCCGAGAATCCGATGTTGGGCTCGGCTCCCTGGCTGAAGACAGCACATCAGCCCATGAAAACTTCTATTCCCAGCCAAAGGAAGGAGTCCAGCACAAGGCAGCACCTGTTCTTTCAGGCTTGGAAGCAAGAAAGGGGGCAAGAGTTGGAGGGTGTGGAATCTGAGAAGACAACTGAGAGGTAAATGGGGGTGGGAGAGGGGAAATTACTGCAGGAATGTCAGCAGAAAGGTGCCAAGCACCATGTGATGGTGTCTGGCAGTTCAATTACAGTCTGTTTGGAGGTGGTTTTCAGTTCACTTTGGGTTTATCAGAGTAATTCTTGCACTTATCAGGAAGCCTGGAGGGAGTGGCTTTATCAGTGCAAACTTTGCTCTATCTTTAGGTGTAACAAGCTTGGTTTAAATCTCTCCAGCACTCAGTAGTAACACCTTTTATTACTCAAGTGGTATCCAGTAAAGAAGTAAAAACCACTACTCAGAATTGATACAAGTTTTGGTTAGACTGATTTGTGTCCCCTTGCTTAGAATTTAAACATTCTCTGAAATATCTTCTGCTTAAAAAAAAATGAGTGATGAAAACTCACCCGACTTTTCTCCCTGTTTTTACAGGTGACATTTAAGTTGAAGATGGGTGGTGGAGAAAGATACAACATTCCAGTTCCCCAGTCTAGAAATACCACCAAGAACCATCAACAACTTAAAACCAGGCAGAAGAACAAAGAGCAGAACTCGCAGATGAAGACCTACATGAAGAAGGAAAGAGGACGTGGAGGCAGCTCATCCCCTGGGGCATGGCAGGCCATGCAGAAAGGGGGCAAGAGCAACGTTCCCTTCCCCAGCAATCCCAACAATCACAACCTGTTGTTCACCCCCCAGAGCAACCAGAACTATGCTGGAGCCAAGTTCAGCGAGCCACCCTCCCCAAGTGTTCTTCCTAAGCCTCCGAGCCACTGGGTACCTGTTTCTTTTAAACCTTCTGACAAAGAAATTATGACATTTCAGCTGAAAACATTACTAAAAGTCCAGGCTTGAGATGTAACTTTTCCTTATTTTTCAGAAGTGATTTAAATTGACAGGGTTTCAAATCTGAGCATTGTTATTCCTAACTCCAGCTGCACAGGTGTGCGGAGCCAGGTGTTCTTGCTGCATGTAGTTAGTCACTTGGAAGAGGGGTGGAAGTTTACATTCCCCTCATGTTTTACCTCAAAAGTTCAGTGCTGTGTTCACGTCACTGTGAAATAGGTATTTTTCTCTAAAATCAGTCAAATCAAATCCTGAACAGTCACCGTTTATTGTATTTATTGTAAGAGTAAATGGGACTGTCTCCCAGAATTGGAAAATTGTGATTTGAATCGTTAGAAAACCAGCTCTTACCTAACTTAATGCAGCATGAACTGGAAAAAAAAAAAAACTGCACTGAAAGCTTTAGTCAGGTTATTTGCTGCTTTTCAGACTGGTGTAAAATTGTGCTAAACAAACATTCTGTGGATTTGCTGAGCAGAAACCTCCCCCTGGGCACAAGGTGAAGCACAGACCATTCTCTTACCTGTACCTGTGAGCTTTGGTGGCACTCCTGGAGTGGGGGATGAGCATTTCAAGCCCGTGACTCTGATCTAGAACGTCCTGAAGGGATGGAAGAAGTCCAGGCAGATCCGTAATGCCTCTCTCCAGCTCCAGCAGTGCTTCCCGAGAATCTCCACGAGTCAGAGTGCCAACTAAAGACTTTGCATTGCCAGGTGACTGCCAAAAAACTCCCCAAAAATCCCTTGGATGCCCACTGCACTGAGGAGTTCTAAACCACATTTTTCTATCAGTTTTTATAATGATAAAAGGTGAGGTAGTTCCTTAAGACTGGTCTTAAATTGGTTCCCTTCTAATAATTAACAGTAGTTTGGGGCAGGTATTCAGTGTTTTCACAGGGAAGACAGAGCCATGTAAATACATGTAAAACATTGTAGCATATGTAAATTTATGCTGGGCTTTCCTGCACAGAAGTATTTTTAGTACAAAACTGCTGAATGTAAGATGACCATGTTGAGTACGTGGCCTAGTTTAAAAAAAATGTTATTTTGTTTAAAAAAAAAAAAAAAAAGACATTTGTGGCTGTGCCCTTGCACTTCACATGCAGTGAATATGCACGTTGTACTTCGTTGTGAGCTCATTTTTTAAGGTTAAATCAGTGCAAAAGAGGCTTATTTAGATTTTTTAAATAAAATAAAAAAAACTTCAAAAAAAAAAAAATAGAGCTGATGAAGTTTCAGCTCCTCCTGTTGAGAATGTGGAGGAGAGGTGTGTGTTCAGTGATGAAAAAATACTGATATGTTCCAAATCAAGCATTCAGTAAGAAATGCAAATGCCTGGGTTTGGGTGCTTGATAAAACCGAAGGATTGTAACCATTCTGTGTTTTGGAAATGCATCAATGCTCTGCAAGACATCAATTTCTCCCAGTATTTGCTCAAATCCTTCAGCAACAGCTGCTGTGCTGTCACATTCCAGCTGATCCTGCAGCAGGAACAGCTGAACTGTGAGAACAGGATCATCCAGGGTTCTTTCAAAATACAGGAATTACCAAAAAAAGTGCTTTAATTTGAAAGGGACTTTTGCAGATTGTGAAATGTTCTGAGGTGTCTTTCTGTACATTCCAAACACAGTGGCAGCTGAATGTTTACAAATTATTGCTCCCAATCAGATGGAATTGGCAGTCTCTAAACCTGTGTTGTGACCTGGACCATCACCAGAGTCTGAGCTGTATCCCAGTTAATTATCTGTTCTTCATTTCAAATTGTCAATTACCGATGGTGTTTGTACAAATTGGAAACAAAAAAATTTAAATAAACTTTTTTTTTTACCCCCTAAAAGCATCTATTTGTTTTCAGATGGAAATGGGAAAGTGGGATGACATCATTTTGGCAGCTCCCTTCACAAAGAAGGTTTAACTGCAGCCTTTTCCTTCATGCCCTTCCAGAGGTTTGGGAACACAGGGCTTGAAAATTAACACTAATTAACATTCCTCACAGAACCAGAACCTGGCGACACTGGGGCTCCGTCTCCCACAGACTAATTAATTAAGTCAGAAGGTGCTCTCAAGTTATAGTCAAAACTTGTACATTTTATTCCCAATTCACAGGGTTATTTGCACAGATGGAACACAAAACTCAAGAAGAAAGGATGTGGATGAATAAAACATCAGCATCTTTGATCAAACACACTACAGGGTACAGAGTCTTCCCTTCCTACAATAGTCTCATCAGCAAGAGCATCTTTAGACAAATATTATAGCAATGGACTACAGACTTTTTAAGCAAGTTACAAGATAAATGGAGAAAACCAGCAATTCTCAATGGGTGATTATGTCCTAAAAATGTGTCAATTTATCCCTCTGTATTTCAGAATGTTCGTCTGCACCATCCCTGGCAAACCCGGCAGCAGCTCCGACTGCCCTTCTCCGAGCACGCTCCGGGCTGTGCCCCCAGACTGAACAGTCAGGAAAAAAGCTCTGTCCGAGCAGAGAGCTCAAAATAACATTGAAACGGAAAAATTCCACTTCCAATAAAACCATGATACTGTACATTAAACATCTTGAAAAGACATAGAAAGGATAACATTGAGCTTTCAGAGACCAGTCTATCAGAGTCCCTAATTAAACACCCAGCTACTTAAACCACTAAATTGAAGAGTTTTAATTACCAGTTGGGTGCATGGACTTTAGGTGAAAAAGAAGTTCCAATAGAGCCTTCTATGACTGCTGCCACCCATCGATTTGCTGCAGATACTTTAGAGCACAGCCATTATTTCAGCAGAATATTAATTTTTTTTTTACACACTACTTCAATTCTACAAATTTCGCAGGAATGACAAAAATCTAGTTTACCACAGGAAAAAAAAACGCAATTCCCACCGTTCTTGAGACTCCAAAAGAAAGATGCCTAGACATGATCTTTTGTAGCCTGCAATGTTCTTGCATTCCAGCTGTGCATAACCTGCAGGAAGCTTGCACAAGACAGGCTCCTGCTTTTTTTAGGGCAGGACTGGGATACCTGCATCAAGGAAGGGAGATGTTATCTAGATGGGCTGTGGCTTGACTTGCATGAATGCATAAACATTCCCTGCCCTTTTGGCCACATCCTGCTAACTCGTCCCCAACTGAAAGGCCCACAGAACAGCTTCTTCACAATTTTTCCATGGGAGCAAGAACTAGGACAACATCTTTATTCATGCACTCTTGAAACATCGTGGGTTTGTGTTCGGCTTTTCTGGCTTGTTCATATACACAAGTCAAGTCAAAGTTTAGTCCTACCTCTGGGAGAGAAAGAAAGAACCATCAGAACTGGCAGACACTACATTATACTTGCAATGAACTGGATTTTCAAAACAAAAAAAAAAATTAAACTGTGCTATACATAAATGTTGAGGCACACAATATAAGGACATGCTGACACAATAGTAAAGGAATAGTTACTGTTACTCTGCAGTCTCAAATCACTCAGCCTGGGCTCGGAGATGTTCTCCGCCCTCCTCCCACTGATCCAGCTCTAATCCCAGCTGGACTAAGGTGACCATTAACGACCTTGCAGGTCCCTGACAGAAACAAACCCTGCCTTCCCCACCAGTCATGAAGACCCCTTTTAAGCAGGATTTAGTCATGAAGACCACACAGATGAAGCTGAAAAGGGTGGGGGGTTCTGCTGTTAGAAGCAGAAAGCTGCAGGATAATTCACAGCTCAGCTTACACAGTGTAAGAGTGTATCAAACTAATTAAGTGCTTTACAGAGCGTTTTTTTCTTTGAGTGTAGAACCTCCTCCAGTGCCAGGAGGCAGCTCCATCTCTGAATGTCACCAGCAAAGCTTTGTCACCTCCCACAGAACCACTGCTGGCGCCAGTTTTGATATGGCACCTATAAATTGATAAGGTGACACTATAAATTTGATTCTATTAGCACCTTCAGTTGTTGCTTTTATGTAGTTCATAACCCCGCTAATAAAATCTGAATTATAACCATAGGACAAGTTCATCCAGCAATAATGAAAGTTAATGGTAAATAAAATTCAATATATTAGACTAAAACTTATGCTTATCATTCTCATTTTGTCTTGTACCCCTTTAAAACTGTGAAAAGACATTTATTCAGATATTAAATGAAAAATTCCTGCCTTTACTGAAATACCATAGGAAGGATTTTACTCCATAAGGGGTGCATAGCTCTATTCCTAACCATGCTTTGGAGTCAAATTCTAAAGCTACAATAATTCCAGTGGATCAGTATTTCCTTCATTTTTTTATTACAGCATGTTTGCTAAATTTACAGCAAGCAGAAAATAAGCTGGGTCTGTAGTTATTTTGATCAAAACATCGATGTTTTAAAGGTAGTACACAATATTTGTTAAAAAGAACATATAAAAATACCTTTTTAGAAGCCTCTATAAGAAAGGAAATACAAAGTTTAATCCCACAACTTTCCTCTGCTAGAGCTGCACGCTACTGCTACAGTTTTAAATAGACTTTTTGCTGTTTTTTTAAACTATACATCCAGGAAAGTCTACAAAATTAAAGGAACGTGCATATAAATGATTGCATAGCAGAACATGAACATTAACTGCAAACAGTAAAGAAAAAGTTAGAAATACTATCAAACGTACAAAGATTCTACGATCAAAGCCCTAAAGCACGTTCCAACACTCCAAAGCCATCTGCACTTCTTTAAAGGCCCTGCTGAAACACTAAAGCCAAACCCTAAAACATTTCTCTAAAAAGGAACTTTTGGAAATCAATGTCTTTATATGCTAGGACATCAGACAGCGAGGAACACTAAATGTTTGATGCTGGCTTTTGAAAGTAAATAGAAAAAAAAAAAAAAACCAACACCAAAAGCCATTTCCATAACAAAGGATGTTGCCTTCTAGAGAAATACTGGTGAGATTACACACTGGGTTTGTTATTTTTCACATTCATTTTTCTAAAGATACTGTATTAGTGATAAACTACATAGCTAGAGATGCAGCTCTTGTTCATATCCAACTCCAAAGGTTTGTTCTGAAGTAAACCAAAATCTTGTAACCAAACCACTATCAATTCTGAGGAAGGAGTGATTCAGACTTGCTTGACCAACTGCTTTTTGCTGTGTAAAAGCAAGCCTGGTTACCCAGGAAGAGAGATGGCTACGGTTTGATACCTATGAATACACCAACTAACCACAGGAGTCATTGGCATAAAAGTTTAGTTCTTATATACTGTACACACACAACTCGAAACAATCTACTTGTATCTAACAGCAGGAAAACTAAGCAATTTTATGGTTAACTGCTCACTAAAATTTAAAATAGATACAAAAACTGCATAAAATGTACATACAACCTAATAATTCAGTTGCTCTGCCGTTTGCTGAAATCTGAATTTGATTTTCCATTTCAAGGTGGGTTTTTTCCCCCCCCTCACACCTTTAGTAGCAGCCGGGCCAAAGGCAGTGAAGCCTCTGTCCCGACACGTCACGACACTGCACAGCCCAACTCTCTGCCCGTGTTGTACATGCAGTGTCAGTACCATCTCTCCAGGGTTAAAGAGAAATCTCCAAAATAGCTCTCCAAAGGGCTCCAATTACCACCCTACTGGTGCTGCTGGTGGGCACGGAGAACACCGAAACCTGCCCCGGAGCCATGGGAACAAACTGCCAGGCTGATTTCCCAGCAGCCAGTGTTGCACTACAACTGTCCAGTTTTCTGTTCTCTCACAAAGTTTAGCGTCAAAAGAACCAGTTAAACAGTTGGTTTAACTGCTCAGCACAAACTGGTACCAATTTCTCTATGGGTGTGACATTTGTAAAAGGACAATGTTGCAAGTTACGATCAATCGACTCATCACCAATATCTAAGCATTAAAAATGCAAATCTTTACAAAAATATACATAGAGACACCACAACCAAATCAGTAGCTGCCCATGACATGTAACCAAGTGGACATTCTCTCTCCCTCTCTCTCTGTCTCTCTCTCTCATTCTGTGGCTTCTCAACACTGTTTTAATTTTAACCATTGTGGGCTACAGGGAAAACTGACAAAGAAAATATTTTTTAGCACTGTTGCAACATCATATTCCTGATAATTTAAGTAAACTGAACTGTGTGTAAATGAATCTTACATGCCTAAACCAACATGGAAACACTGTTAGTGGCCACTGGACTTGGGACTAGTCCAAGACCTCGATCTGGATTTTGACCTAGATCTAGAATGTGAT